TCAGCAGCAGCATCCGCATCAGCACCGGCATCGGCATCATCAGCAACAGCAACAGCATCAGCATCATCATCATTATCCTCACCACCAGCATCATCATCAGCAGCATCATCATAACCTAAGTAGTGACCCTGAGTGTGATTCTGGGTGAGGAGGACGAGGAGGAGGAGGAGGAGGAAGAGGGAAGTGTGAATGAGAGGAGTCGGCACGATCGGAGCAATAATTGTTCACTGCGTGGGGCTTCCCAAAAGTGCATCTATTAGCATGGACCTGTCCGCCGTGAGTGCCCAGGCGCAAGAGTTTTCGAATATAAACGCGCTTCAGTATTGACGGTCTGGGAGTGAATCTAACTGTGAACGAGTTGGAGCGTGAATGAGTCTCAATAGTACGAGCGCGTCTCTGCGCATGAGTCTGGGGATTCCTGGGGCCTCCTGAAACCTCGTGAGGCTTCCTGGGGCCACCTGGAGCCTCTTTGGGCCTCCTGGGGCCTCTTGGGGCTTCCTGTGGCCTCCTGAGGCCTCCTGGGGCCTCGTGTTGCCTCCTGAGGCCTCGTGGAGCCTCCTGGGGAGGGTTCGTGCCCCGGGAGAGACCCAATCTATAGGAACAGACGTAAAGCTCGTTGGATTAGAGCCACAGGATAAGGGCAATCGATACGAACACACGTAAGACGCGAAGGACTCGTGCCCCAGGGGAGGCCCAATAGGAACATACGTAAAACGCTTAGGATTGGATACACAGGAGAAGGACTATATATAGAAACATACGTAAACACACAAATGATTATTGTTCCATGACAGGCACAATATGTAAGAGCATACGTGAAACACATGGGATCGGAGCCACTCCCGTGGCCTTCTGAGGCCTCCTGCTCCTGAGGACTCTTAGAATCTCCTGGTGCCTTCCGGGGCCTCCTGGTGCCTCCTGGCGCTTCCTGTGGCCTCCTGTGGCCTCCTGTGGCCTCCTGTGGCCTCCTGTGGCCTCCTGTGGCCTCGTGGAGCATCCTGGAGCATCCTGATGCCTCCTGGAGCTTCCTGGGGCCTCCTGGAGCCTCTTGGGGCATCCTGTGGCCTCCTGTGGCCTCTTGGAACACGAGCCTCCCGGAGCCTCTTGGGGCATCCTGTGGCCTCTTGAGCCTTCCTGTGGCTTCCTGGGACCTCCTGTGACATCCTATGGCCACCTGGTGCCTCCTCGAGCCTGCTGGAGTCTCTTGTGGCATCCTGGGGAGGATCCGTGCCCACGAGTCTGGCCACCAAAACAAGCAAACCGATCGAGACATCCTCAAAGTCTGGCCCCCCTTGGGGCGAAAGTCAGCGCCTCGCTCGAGGCATCCTCCAAATATGCTCCGAAATCGGAGGATGTTGGTCACCGAAGCAGGCAAACCGCTCGAGACATCCCCGCCATCTTGGCGCGAACGGAGGAGTGAGATACCCCCTGGCGGCTCCCCCTTGGGTGTGCTGAAACCCGCGCCTCGCTCGAGATATCCTCAAAAGTTGCTCCGGCATCATCATTATCATCATCATCATCATCATCATCAGCATCATCATCATCATCATCATCATCATCAGCATCATCATCATCATCATCAGCATCATCATCATCATCATCATCATCATCATCATCATCGGCAGCATCATCATCAGCATCATCATCAGTACCATCAGCATCATCAACAGCAGCAGCATCATCATCAGCAGCAGCAGAATCATCACAAGCATCATCATCACCATTATCAGCATAAGCACCGCCATCACCGTGGCATGACACAACAGAACATAACACACCATACCATAACATCGCATAACACAACGCAGCGTAGCATGAGGAGGAGGAGCAGGGAGGAGGGAGGAGGACGGAGGGGTGTGTGTGTGTGTGATGAAGTTGGCGCGGCCGGAGTAATTATTCACTGCGTGGAGACCCCCATGTGTGCATCTACTAGCATGGACCTGTCCGCCGAGATTGTCTAGGCGTGATAGTTTTCGAATATAAGTGGTGTTGGGTATCGAGGATCTGGGAGTGAATCTAACTGTGAATGAGTTGGAGTGTGAATGATTCTCAGTAATACGAGCGCGTCTCTGCGCAAGAGCCTGGGTGTTCTTGGGGCCTCCTGAAACCTCCTGGGGCTTCCTGGGGCCTCCTGGAGCCTCTTAGGGCCTCCTGGGGCCTCCTGGGGCCTCCTCGAGCCTCCTGGAGCCTGCTGGAGCCTCCGGTTGCATCCTGAAGAGGATCCGTGCCCACGAGTCTGGCCAGCAAGATAGGCAAACCGCTCGAGACATCCTCAAAGTCTGGCCCCCGCCTCGGTCGAGACATCCTCCGAATATGCTCCGAAAACGGAGGACGTTGGGTCTTGAAACAGGCAAACCGCTCGAGACATCCCCGCCATTGTGGCGCAAACGGAGGAGTGAGATACCCCTGGCGGCTCCCCCTTCGAGGTGCTGAACACCGCGCCTCGCTTGGGACATCCTCAGAATTTGATCATCCATCATCATCATCAGCATCAGCATCAGCATCATCATCATCATCATCATCAGCAGCATCAGCATCATCACCACCATCACCATCATCATACCATGACCTGGCATAGTGTAACGTAAGACAGCATAGCATAACACATCATAACACATACAATTGCAGACCATAGCGGACCGCAACATAACATACCATGCTATGCCGTAGTATAGCAGACCATGCCATACCATAACATAACATAAACCACACCATAGCATGTCATGGCATAACATAACATAACATGAGGAGGAGGAGGAGGAGGGAGTAGGGAGAAGGTGATTATCGGCGCTGTCGGGGAAATTGTTCATTGCGTGGAATTCCCTATATGCGCATCTATTGATATGGACCTGTCCGCCGTGAGCGTCTAGGCGCAGGAGTTTTCGAATATAAGCGGGCTTGAGTATCGAGGGTCTGGGAGTGAATCTAATTGTGAATGAGTTGGAGTGTGAATGAGTCTCAGTAAGGCGAGCGCGTCTCTGCGCATGAGCCTGGGGACTCCCGGGGCCTCCTGAAACCTCCTGGAGCTTCCTGGGGCCTCCTGGAGCCTTTTGGGGCCTCCTGGGGTCTTTGGGCTTCCTGTGGCCTCCCGAGGCCTCCAGGGGCCTCGAGTGGCCTCCTGAGGCCTCCTGGAGGCTCTTGGAGCCTCCTGTGGCATCCTGATGCCTCCTGATACCTCCTGGTACCTCCTGTGGCCTCCTCGAGCCTCCTGGAGCCTGCTGGAGCCTCCTGTGGCATCCTGAAGAGGATCCGTGCCCACGAGTCTGGCCAGCAAGATAGGCAAACCGCTCGAGGCGTCCTCAAGATCTGGCCACCCTTGGGGGCGAAAATCAGCGCCTCGCTCGAGGTATCCTCCAAAGCTGCTCCGAAAGCGGAGGACGTTGGGTCTTGAAACAGGCAAACCGCTCGAGACATCTCCTCAGTTATGGCGCGAACGGAGGAGTGAGATACCCCCTGGCAGCTCCCCCTTGGGGGTGCTGACATCCGTGCCTCGCTCGAGGCATCCTCAGAATTTGCTCCGCCATCGTCATCATCATCCTCAGCATCATCATCATCATCGTCATCATCATCATCATCATCATCATCAGCAGCAGCAGCATCATCAGCAGCATCATCATCACCATCATCATTATACCATAACTTGGCATATCATAACGGAGCACACCATCGCATTACATAGCAAAACATGTCATGGCATACCATAGCATACCAGAACATACCAAATCATAGCATGGCATAGCATACCATTATATAGCAGATCATATCATCAAACACACATACCAGAACATGCCATGACATCACATAATTTAACATGAGAAGGAGGAAGAGGAGGAGGAGGAGGAGGAGGAGGAGGCGGAGGAGGAGGAGGAGGGAGGAGGGAGAAGGTGACTCTGGGCGCGGTCGGAGTAAAAAGAAGAGGTCCATCCTTTGGATATGGGGAATAACAAGGGCCCCATCTCTTGGATATGGGGAACATCAAGAACCCCACTCTTTGGATATGGGCAACAAGAACCCCATCCTCTGGATTTGGGGAAAACATGTTCCCCTGATCTCGGTCTCCGGGCCCGTTATCGAGCCCCGGGGCCACCAAAGACGGGTCCGGGGCGGAAAGCTGCCCCCGGGGGAGGGGGTCGGGAACTCGGAGGCCACGCCTTGCAAAGTCACATCGTCGGATGCCTGGGAAGCTTCTCGATCCTCGACGCTGGGGGCGCGAGGACCGCGGCTGCGAGTTCCTGCGGCGTGCGGGCGGGAGGAGAGGGGCGGGCTGCCTCCGAGCTGCGCCCGCCGGGTGCTTCCTGGGCGAGGTGTGCTCAGCACGTCGGCCGCGGCGGACTCTTGCCCGCTGGCCGTTATTTTTGATCGACTGGCCAGTGCCCACGTGCGGTTGCTGGCCCTGCCCTTCCAGAGCCCTGGCGGGCTCTGGACGAGGGGAGGCGGTGTCCCCTTCGCTCCTCCTTCTCATCGCCTCCTCTCCTCCCCGCTCTCGTCCAAGAGTGGGTTTAGGTTCTCATCAAATCTGCTAGATGTTGTTCGGAGACGTTCGAGCAAGTTCTGCGCCGCTTTCGCTGGCGCAACCACGAAGACGACGGCGGCGGCTGCGACCTCCTCTTCCTCATCCACCTTCCCTTTTTCTCCTCCCCGACGACGGCGGCGACGACGGCGTCGTCGCCTCCTCCTCCTCCTCCTCCTCCTCCTCCTCCTCCTCCCTCCCTCCCTCCCTCCCCCTCCCTCCTCCTCCCTCCTCCTCCCTCCCTCCTTTTCTCCCTCCCTCCCTCTCCCCAACTCCCTCCCCCCTCTCCCCCTCCTCCCTCCCTCCTCCCTCCATCCATCCATCCATCCATCCATCCATCCATCCTCATCAGTATCCCGATTTTCTTTCTCCCGCCTGCCTCCCCGTCCCTCCCTCGTTCCTCCCCCGCCTCCCTCCCCCTTCCCAGCCACCCCCCCGACGTCAACAACGACGACGACCACGACGACGAAGACGACGACGACGACAAAGGTGGCGATGCCCTCCTTCCGTCCTTCCGACGACGACGCGCGAGGCGCTTCGCGGGGCAGCGCACTCGCCGCACATGGCGGCGCACTCGCCGCGCAGGCGCTTCCCGTGCCGTCGTCATCGTTGGGGGGGGCGGGGGAAGGGGAGGGGGGGAGAGAGGAGGGAGGAGGAGGAGGAGGAGGAGGAGGAGGAGGAGGAGGAGGAGGAGGAGGAGGAGGAGGAGGAGGAGGAGGAGGAGCGGGGGGAAAAAGGAGCAGAAGACGGAAGAGGAATACGAGGAGGCGCAGGAGTGGACAGGGGGCAGACGACAGGACCTGGAGGAGGAAGAGAGGAGGGAGGAGGAGCAGCGAGGGGGAAGAGCGGGAGGCGGGAGGAGGAGGAGGCGGATGAGGAATGGGGGGGAGGAGGAGGAAGGAGGAGGGCCCGAGTATCCCCGAGATGCGTCAGCCGCATCTCAATTTGCAAGACGCCCTCCCGCCTCAGGCCCCCTCCTCGCAAGGCCCTGCAAGTGCGCCTCTCCGCTGAGGGAAGCACCCCCCCTGGGAAAGGGCGAGCGGCCCGTGGGCCTGCCAGTCAGGCGAGCCCCTTGCCGGCCGGGCGAGGCCGTAGGTCCCAGAGACCTGTCGGGCGGCGGCTCCGGTCTGGGAAGCGTCGTCCCTCAATCCGCGCACGCGCTGCACCGTTCCGACGGTCCTGGTATGGAGCCACACTGTGAGAGGAGCAACCCTCAGGTCGTGGAACGGGCCACCATTTCGAGTTGGATGCCGTAGCACGTAGGGAACCATCCAGCGGGAGCCCCAGTTTGAAGACGAATCGCCATACCTCCGTGGAGCTGTTCCAAGCATGTACGACAAGTGTGCGCAGCGTCTTCTGCGAGATCCCTATTTTGAACCCCACGCCCCGTCGACCCTGGCAACGCATCGATTGATTAAGACAAGTGTGCGCAGCGCCAAGTGCCTCTTTCCAAAAAACGCGTCCAGCCGTATAAATGCTGGAATTGCGTAAGGCGAGCGTGCGCAGTGCCAAGACGAGAGCCCCCTTTTGAAAACGTTCTGGGCCCGTCCGAGCCATCATTGGCAATTTCACAAGTGTTCATACCATAAGCTGTGAGGAAGCATCAGGCGAAACGCCCAGCCCGCACTAACGACACGTCGGGCGGTGCGACAGGGAAGAGCAATATATAATGAAAAAAGACGTGGCAGCAGTAGGGAAGGAGGATGGAGAAGCAGGAGGAGCAGGAGGAGCGAGGAGGAGAATGCGGCACCGCGTGCTGTCCCGTGGGCGCCCCGTCCGCTGGGTGCACCACAGAGCTCGCACCACATAGCTTGCACCACAAAGGATGCATCACATAGTACGACGCACAGCTTGCACCATATAGATCTGCAGCCAGTTCGGTTCAAGGCCATGGCACCCTCCGCTTGGGTGCGAGTCTCGACGAGGCGCTCTGAGCACCTGGGGAGGTGCTGGTCAAAGCCAAAACTTACGGAGACTGTCTCTCGGTCCCAGCTGTGGGCTCGTATCGGCGCGGGGGAGCGCGGATGGCGGGCGGCGGCGGAAGGTCAGGCACGCTTTCGGCACCGGGCAGGGCGGTGCAGGAGGAGTCTGGCCCACGCCGAGTGAGTCGCTCAAGCGGACCTGCGGGAAGTGTCACACTGAAGCGATTGGGGCGATGCGCACAGAGTGCCGCACGTGTGGGCAGGAGCGGCCGAAGGAGGCGGGCGGCGCAGGCGTGGCCCAGGCCAAAGGGCCTCACCGCCAAGTGCGAGGGGGCGCCGTCCGCGCGCTGGCCGTCGGCAAGAAGCTCACCGCCAAGGACAAGCAGTTGGAGGCGGCGAACGTCAGGATCAAGCGGATGGAAGAAGCCTCGGCGAAGGCAACGGGCCCCCAGGCGCCAGGCGGCGCCCCGCCGTTGTCGGAGGGTGCTGATAAGGCGGGCCGTATCGCCATGCCCCTCGACCGACAGAAGAGTTTGGCGCAGGTGGCGACCAGCTGCCCAGAGGACGCCCAGCCAGGATGGTTCGCCAGTGGGCGGCGTGCCACAGAGGAGCAGCTGGCCGAGGCGCAGCAAGGGACAGGGCCAACCCGCTGGCCACCCAGCTGCGCGAGGCAGCAGCCAAGACGGCCAAGGCCACCAAGCACGAGCAGAAGCTGGTCGAGGCGGTGGCCAGGCTCCAGGCGTCGCTGGTGGAGGAGCAAGCGAGCTTGCAGGAGGCGCGCCAGGCGCGGGCGGCAGTTCAGGCCCAGGAGCTGGCAGTGCAGGCGTCGGTGGGGGCGCAGAAGCCAGCACCGCGAGCCGGCGGGGTGGCCGTGCGACGTGGACGTCCTGCGCCGACCAGATCGGGCAGGCGATCGCCAAGACGGGCAAGACCCTCGAGGCCTACGGCAGCCTCGACTTGAGCGCCTTGGCGGCGGGCGTCGAGCAGCTGCGGGTGGTAGAGGCCGAGGCAGTTGCTGAGCCTGCTGCCCCGTGGCCACGCCGATGGGGATGACGAACGCGAGCCCCCAGAGACAGGAGAGGAGGCTGACATGGCAGTGGACCAGGCAGGGGAACCAGACCTGGACGACGAGGAGCGTGCGTGGCTGATGGGAGAGAGTAGCACCCCTGACAGCGGCACACAGCCTGAGGCGCACAAGCGTTACCGGGACGCCTTGCAGAAGCAGCATGAGTACAGGCTCAAGCGTTAGAAGCGAGGGTGATGGTCTCCTGCACTTGTGTTGCATGGGCCTTGCATCGGCTATGAGGAGTCGCCACGGAAGGAGCAAGTGCTGGCCAGCCTCAGGGAGGCGCAGCTGAGATTGCCATGGCCAGAACAGGAGCAGCCAAGGGGGAGAACCCAGCCACCTGGCGGTCAAGCTGGATGCAGATACGCAGCAGTGCTGGCGGATGACGCACGACGGCAGCTCCTGTGGCAGAGTGGTAGACAGCGCAGCCAGGCGAAGAGATCGAGATCTAGACCTTCAACGGCTCGAGCTGGAGCAGACATCGCATGAGGCTCCTGGAGGCGGCCACAGCGAGGAGGTGCTGCTACGTTTTGCAGGAGACCAAGTTGCGAGCTGACGCCATCGCGGTCGTGCAGAAGCCGATGGCCAATGAGGGCTGAAGGCTGGCAGCCGCTGCGGCGATGGCGACCACGGACGGCTATGCCGAGAATGCAACGTCAGCGGGTGTTACCTTGACCGTCCCCAAGCACGCAGGGCTGGCGCATCCCGCGGGGGCCACGACCTGGGACATCTCGCCAGTGGGCAGTCGGAGCAGAGCTGCTATGGCCAGGGCGGCGATGGGCCGAGGCCTGATCCTGGCCAGCGTGCACTTGTGGACTGGAGAAGGCTTGGGAGAGCGCAACGAGTACCTATTGTAGCACGTACCTCGCAAACTTCATATCACTGGCCTGCCGTGGGTGGTAGGTGGTGATTCCAAGCAGGCGCCGACCGCCCTCCAGATGCCCCCCAGAGTGCGTGACCCCGGCGGCATAATTGTGTACCCCACGTCGGCGTTGCGATACCCACAACGGCGATAGTCACAACTGCATATGTGCAGGCCCTTCGCCAGGACAATTGCAAAATAATATGAGTGCCCCATAATTCCGAAGTGTGGGGACTCCAAAATCATTACGAAACAAGCAGTTTTTTCCCTACCTAGGCTCTGCCTAGAAGGGTTCTTACTCTCTAGCTGAAAGGGGCCGGGCAGTGGAAAGCGCCCCGGGCGGTTCCCCCAGTCCCCGCCCCGCGGTTCCCCCCAGTCCCCTGGGAGCTTTAGCTTTAACTTTAGCTTTAGCTTTAGCTTTAGCTTAGCTTTAGCTTAGCTTTAGCTTAGCTGTAGCTTAGCTTCAGCTTAGCGTTTCGCTTAGCTTTTCGCTTAGCGTTTAGCTTAGCTTTAGTTTAGCTTGAGCTTAGCTTTAGCTTAGCTGTAGCTTAGCTGTAGCTTAGCTTTAGCTTAGCTGCAGCTTAGCTTTAGCTTAGTGTTAGCTTAGCTTTAGCTTAGCTGTAGCTTAGCTTTAGCTCAGATTTAGCTCAGCTTTAGCTCAGCTTTAGCTCAGCTTTAGCTCAGCTTTAGCTTAGCTTTAGCTTAGCTTTAGCTTAGTTTTAGCTTAGCTTTAGCTTAGCTTTAGCTTAGATGTGGCTTAGCTTTAGCTTAGCTTCAGCTTAGCTTTAGCTTAGCTTTAGCTTAGCGTTACTGTTACTACTAATGCTGCTTTCCTAGGGGTTCCAACTCCTAGGTAGGGTCGCACTGGGATAATGATTTGAAGTTCGGGGAATTTGGAATCACTACAATTTTCCGTTTAGAAGAACGGCCGCCTGGACACATGCTAGAGGAGGCCGTTTCAAGAACTTCTGGAGACCATCTCGGGAAGGGGTGCGCGGGGGGATCAAACTGAAGCCCCGAGAGGCGCACGAGAGGCCCAAGAGGACTCCTAAGAGGCCCCCATGCGGCTCCGAGGCCCCCCAGAGGCCCCCAAAGCGCCCCAAGAGGCCCAGAAGGCCGCCAAGGTGCCCCAACACGTCCGACTATGGGTTCCCCATAGTTCCGAACTATGGGAGCACACATGTCCGTACGACTGCCAAGGGCACCCCCTCAAAGAGTCGCCCCCCCCATTTCCCGAAGTTCGGGGTTCGGATTATGGGAAGCCCCAAATCTCTTCAGCAGTGGCGAGAACCAGCGTGCTGGATTCCTCCGTGTTGGTTCCGAGTGTGCGGAACTGGAGCCGTGCTCATTAGATCTGTCCGCTTCATCCCAAAGCCCCTTGGAGGGGATGCGGAATACGCTTTACGGAGGAAGAAAAAAAAGTCCAGGCGGCCGTTAGCCCATTCCCCCCCCAGTGCGGCGTGCGGCCCAGATGCCACCCCAAGACAGCCCCAAGACAGCCCCCCAAAGAGTTTGTTTTGGGGGCTCCTAGGGGCGCCCACTCCAGGCCCGCCCGGCGCTCCCGCACGGCGCCCCCAGTACTCCTCACGGAGACCGCCTGGTGAAGGCGAGGGTCACGAGGGGCAGAGGGGGGCAGGGCACAACCGAGGTTTCCACGAAGCCCCGGGGACAGTTCGCAACAGGCCCACGCCTGCGAGCTTCCATCGCCCATCCACCGCCCGTTTCCTCAACCTCCTCAAGATTGCTCCTCCTCATAATCGTCCTACTCCCCTTCCTCCTCCTCCTCCCCCTCCTCCTCCTCCTCCTCCTCTTCCTCGTTGTTCTCGTCATGTTCATGGTCCTTCCTCCTCGCTTCCTCGTCCTTTTGCAAGTCAGCCTCCTCTTGCTCCCGACTCGCCCTTATGTCTCTCCTCCTCCTCCTCCTCCTCCTCCTCCTCCTCCTCCTCTTCCTCGTTGTTCTCGTCATGTTCCTGGTCCTTCATCCTCGCTTCCTCGTTTTTCTGCAAGTCTGCCTCCTCTTGCTCCCGACTCGCCTTTATGTCTCTCCTCCTCCTCCCCCTCCTCCTCCTCCTGCTCTTCCTCGTTGTTCTCGCCATGTTCCTGGTCCTTTTCCTCGTCCTCCTGCAAGTCAGCCTCCTCTTGATCCCGACTCGCCCTTATGTCTCTCCTCCTCCTCCTCCTCCTCCTCTTCCTCCTCCTCTTCCTCGTTGTTCTTGTCATGTTCCTGGTCCTTCCTCCCCGCTTCCTCGTTCTTCTGCACGTCAGCCTCATCTTGCTCCCGACTCGCCCTGATGTCTCTCCTCCTCCTCCTCCTCCTCCCCCTCCTCCTCCTCCTCCTCGGATTCCTCGTTGTCCTCGTCCAGTGCCTGATCCTCCCTCCTCGTTTCCTCTTCCATCTGCATGTCTTCATCCTATTGTTTCCGAGATGACCTTATGCTCAGTGTCACCTCCATCAGCATCAACAACAACAACAACAACAACAACAACAATAACAACAACGACAACAACAACAACAACAACAACAACAGCAGCATCAGCATCATCAGCATCATCAGCAGCATCGTCATAAGCATCATCGTTTGCATAATCATCCTATTCCTCGTTGCCCTCGTCCTGCTCCTGGTCCTCCCTCCTCGCTTCTCCTACCTTCTGTACTCTTAATACTGTTCTTGCATCCTCCTCCTCCGCCTCCGCCTCCTCCTCCGCCTCGTCCTCCTCGTATTCCTCCGTCGTATTTGTTTGTTCCTCCTCCTCCTCGCGCATTTTCTTCCTTCCTCCCTGGGCCCTTCCCCCTCGCTGCTCCTATCCCTGGATCCCACGTGCACACGCCACCCTGTCCCCCTCCCCCCGAGCCCCGCCTCGAAACGGGAGAGCCGAGGCCGCGGGACGGCAGCGGGGCAAAGCGCACACTACCGTCCATGCCGAACTTGCTCCTACCGGGCACCAGTGCAGCCTCAGCCGTCAACGCGCCGTCTGCAAGCCGAGGGCCCGAGCAGCTGGACGCGGTCCTCCAGGCCCGTGATGCGCCAGATCCCGTGGCAAACGTGTACGAGGCGCGCGCGACGGTTCTGGCGCAATCTGGTGCGAAAGATGGCCCAACATCGGTTCCGAAGAGCGGGGGCCGGTTTCGGACGACGCGTAGCTTAAGGGACCGGCCCTAGAAAACACAAGAGCCAGTCATCGAAGAGCATTCTAGCACGCCCACCCGATGCAGGTACGGTGGCAGATTCACGTCGAAAAGGTGTCAAGATGAGAAGAAAGTTAGGTGCGTTCGCGCCTTGTGTGGCATCCTCTAAGTTTCCCTTCTTCGCAGTTTGTGCGTGTTGCTCCTCTTCATCCTCGCCGTGAGTCCTCTTCCTGATTTCTCGCCCCATCCTACGCCTCGCCCTGAGTCCTCTTCCTGATTTCTCGCCCCATCCCACGACTACTACTCCGTTTCGTGTTCCCCGCCCCCCATCCGACTCCTCTTCTTCCACGTCCTCGCTCCCGCCCAACCCCACGTCATCTCGATCTGCGGTCCCCCCTTCTGACTCTGCTCCGCTTCCAAAGCTTCACTGCTGCTGGTCCTTCTTCATTGTTGGGGGGTGCGGGGGGGCGGGATGGCGATCCCAAGCAAAAGGCTGGTACGCACAGCACAGGCGACTCTGACAGGCGGCTGTGTGCATCGCATGTTGCCCCGTGCGACGTTACGAAATATGCGTTGTTCGGGGGTCTCCTGGCCAGGAAGACTAGATGAAACCGTTGCTCCGAAATCCAAGGTGCCTCGACCTCGAGAGCACCGCCTCGAACCAGTCAGACGGGAGCTTCGACCTAGGAATTAGTTGACGACGCCTATTTGACATCGGACCCGCGGCGTGATTTGTTCACGCAGCTAGGGCAGCGTTTCGTCCCATCAGTTTCACCCGCTACCGACGCGTTTTAACTATTCTGCTCACGCTCGCCATCTCAACCGTTCGCTCTCCTCCCCTGTCCCTGTGTGCTCATTTGAGCGGCGCCAAACAATGGGGTCGACTTCGCCGACATTGGCGCGCAAGCTGCCCGCGTAAGGCCACGCGTAAGCGCCCTCGTATTCAGTGCAGCGTGCTACGCCAGCGGCCCGCGCAAGCTGCGGCGTAAGGCCGCTGTATTTTCTCGCGCAAGACCCGTTTTTGATCGCCGCTCATGTGCTTTCAGTCTATCAACCTCTCTCTCTCTCTCTCTCGCTCTCTCCGATACCTCTCTCTTCTGTCGGCCCACTTGTATTCATGGACGCTTGCAAGCTGGGGCCACGCGGTGCGGGGGGGGCCACGCGGTGCGGAGGGGGGGCAAGCGACGCAGCACAACAGCGAAGGCAGGAGGCAGGAGGAGCGGTACGGTGAAAGCTTCAGCAGGGACTGCGATATGCAGCAACACATTGTGATTAAATTAGGGTCTCACACAAAGGCGAACGCGAGGGTGAAAGCGAGTTCAAGCGCAAGAGGTTTACACATCAAACTGTACGGAGTGCTAGGCGGCAACATTGCGAACGAATGCAGCCGAATTGCAGAGCGCACGCAAGACGACGCAACTGTTCATCGACGCCTTGCTAATCAAAGCAAGCAGCACCGTGCGCATCAACTCGTATAGCAAAGCGGCAAGGAGCGCGGAACGCAGGAAGGAATGCATACCCCGTAGCAGGAAGCAAACCGAAGCAGCGCAAGGGTAACAAGGCACCGTAGTTCATAGCAAAGTGCAGAGACAGTCGAGGTGTCTAAACCAAAGCAGCGCAACTCAACGCAATACTGTGCAAAGCAATGTAGTCGAATACGTCCCGCGCGCAGAAATGTTCTGTACAGCGGAGAGTAAGTCAAGTAAACGCGGTGCATAATATACCGAAGAAAAATCATAAGCCAAGCCGACGCGAACGCATGCCTACAAAGCGAAGCGAAGGTGATTAAAGGTCGAACGCGAAGGAGGGCAGGCAGAACAGAAGACGAACTCATCGTCAAGCCATCCGCTGGACATGTGGCAAAACATGTCCAAGCCAAGTAACGGCAAAGCGAGCCAAAGCGAAAAGTTATCAACGCGCCGGGATGAGGAGCACCGCGAACAGCAAGTCCAAGCAGGTTCGATGCGCTACAGCTCAGCAAAATACAGCCATTCTGAGCAACGCTGATGCGAATCGGTTGCAACGCAGGGCGTTACAACGGCGAAGCCGAACAAAGCAACTGAGCGCAGAATGGAACGCAGAGCACATCGCGGAACTAGGAATGCTGCTCGGCACGACCATTCTCGACGCAATCCATACAGCATCATGCAAATCATTGCGGGGGCAACACACAAAAGAAATGATCTTGGCGAAGGGCCCAACCATATGCAAATGTGAGTATCGCCGTTGTGGGTGTCGCCTTCGGTGGATCTTTCTATTAGGCCACGAAGCGTGTAAAGGGTGTGCCGACAAATGAGGCGGTGACGCATGTGGGCGCAGCCATTGGAACCTTCGGTGGCGCTCCATATGGGGCCACGAAACGTGTGAGGGGTGTGCCGAAATGGAGCCGGACCGCCATGCGAACGTCGCCATTGGGGCCGTGGGTGTAGCTCCCTATGGGCCCACGAAGCGCTGTACTGAGTGAGAGAGGCGCATGCGAACACCGCCACTGGGGCCTTCGGTGGAACTCCCCATGGGACCACGAAGCGCTGTACTGGGTTGGGGAGACGCATGCGAACACCGCCACTGAAGCCTTCGGTGGAGCTCCCTGTGGGGCCACGAAGCGCCGTGCTAGGTGGGGAGACATGCGGACACCGCCACTGAGGCCTTCGGTCGAGCTCCCTTATGAGGCCACGAAACATTCGACCGTGTGGAGGAAACGCATGCGAACACCGCCACTGGGGCCGTCGGTGGAGCTCCCTATGTGGCCACGGCTGTGCTGGGTTAGGAAAACGCTTGCGAACACCGCCACTGGTGCCTTCGGTGGAGCTCCCTATGGGGCCACGAAACGCTGTGCTGGGTGGGGGGACAACATGCGGACACCGCCACTGGGGACTTTGGTGGAGCTCCTTAAGGGGTCACGAAATTTTCTACTGGGTGGGAGAATCGCATGCGACCACCGCCACTGGGGCTTCCGGTGGAGCTCCCTATGGGGTCACGAAACGTTGTACAGGGTGGGGGGACCACATGCGGACACCGCCACTGGGGCCTTCGGTGGAGGTCCCCATTTGAGGCCACGAAAAGCTGTGCTGGGCGAGGGAACGCATACGAACACCGCCTCTGGGGCCTTCGGTGGAGCCTCTCTAGGGGCTACGAAATGTTGTACTGGGTGGGGGAAACGCCTGCGACACCGCCACGGGGGCCCTCGGTGGTGCTCCCTGCGGAGCCACGAAACGTGTGAGGGGTGTGCCAAAGTGGAGGGGGGGCGGCAAGCGAATCATGCCACCAGGGCCCTCGGTGGAGCTCTCTGTGGGGCCACGAAACGTGTGAGGGATCTGCCAAAGTGGAGGGGGAGGGGAGCGGCAAGCGAATCATGCCACTGGGGCCTTCGGTGGAGCTCCCTGTGGGGCCTCGAAACGTGTGAGGGGTTTGCCAAAGTGGAGGGGGGCGGCATGCGAATCGTGCCATTGGGGCCTTCGGTGGAGCTCCCTTTGGGGCCACGAAATGTGTGAGGGGTGTGCCAAAGTGGAGGGTGGTGACGGGAGGAAGGAGGAGGGGGAGGAGGAGGGGGCGGAGGAGAGGAGTAGGAGAGAGGAGGTGGAAACGTGGGGTCTCTCTCTCTCTCTCTCCAAACGAGGACCCATCTCAACACGGGATGGCTGGAAAGCAATACCGCATGGAATCCACATGACTCATTCGTGCAATAACTTCGGCAGGTTGTCCGTGCGTGTGCAACCGCATGGGTGTAGCAACCCGAGTGAAAACCCATGAATGGAAACGCGTGCGTGTGAATCCTTACGTATGCGGGATTCCATGTTTGTTGATCCCCATGTGTGTGTGTGTGTGTGGAAACGAATGTGTATAACCGAATATGTGTTGAGCGCCATGTGTGCGGAACTCCGTGTGGGTGCGCGGGTGCGTGTGTAAGCCATGTGTGCAGAACCACACGGATGCGGATCCTGATGCGTTTGGACCCCATGGGTTTCAACGGCCTCGGTGTGTTGAATACCGCGTGGCGAAAACAGCCCGACTAGCTATTTTCAGCACGAGTAAAAATAGCCCGTTAGCTGTAGGCATTTTTGAGGGAACAGTCAGACAAGTTGATCAGATTGGAGATATGTTGGTACCTAGAAAACGCTATCGTGGTGCACACGAATACTGTTGACCTTGCAATACGGGGCCAGTGGAGCGGAATGTCAGTGGGCAGGCCATAGCTGTATAAGCAGCTGAAGCCACGGCGGTCTACATATTCTCGGCCGACCCCAAAGGGGCCACAATGCCTCACAGTCGTAAGGCTCACCTGCGGGATGACACATCAAAGCACACGCGAGCACGCGCACAGGCGAGCGCGACAACAAGTCAAAAGCACTAGCAACGGGGGCGAAGAGCAAAGCCATTGGGTGCAAAGAGGGGTGCACCAGGTGCATCAAGCAAGAGGAGCGCGACGCGAAGCGAAGCAAATCTAAATCCTCGCAGCGCAAGTCAAAGCAAAGCGCCTCGTCCTCATCATCCCCCCCCCTCGGGGCCCCGACGCTCCTGCCAGCAAGGGCCCCGGAGGACCCCCGCCCGCCAGGAGCCCAGAGGCTGCTGTGGGATCCGGGCAGTTCCGCACCGGCTCGACGCGTCGGCAACGCCCCAAGATGAAGCTTTCGGCCTCTTCTCAGAGCGTGAATTACCTACCCCGCTTTCGCTTCCAGGCAAAACCAAGTCATACTACGCGCCTCCTCGTCAAGCGGCCTGACCAGTACAGGCCGTAGTTTGGCATCGTTTGGTATCTCTTGGAAGCGAGGGTGGTCAAAAGCGAGGTAGGTTTGTTTTCCCCCTATCTTCTGGTCTTCGGGGTGGCCGTTGCTGGGCGCAGCTTGGAAAAATGGTCCAGGCGGTGCCCAGGAGGGGTCCGGGAATCGGTTTTTTGAGCGCCGCCTCGGCGACGCTGGCGCGGGGCCCTCCTCGTTCGGGTCCCGTGGCCGCAGAAATCAAATCAACAAATCACGGTGCGAAATGCATACGAGAGATTGGTGACCGAGAGCCCCTTGGGATATCCTATCGAAGACAACGTTCAAGATTGAACAGTTCACGCGGTGACGTAACAAGAGCCTACGTCGTCAAGGCAGGTCAGTTGTCAACATTGAACTTGGGGATGTTTAGCTGCGCGGGGAGATACATCGAGCGGCAGAGCTCTCGCGCAGCCCTTCAAGTGTCAGGTGGCACCTCAGCTGATGGACCCCTACTGCAGCCCGCTCTGGCGAAACACACGTGGCTGAAGCCTGCTTGAAAAGTTGTGTGGCCCAAAGCATAACTCGATTTGCCGTGCCGAGAGCGAGCTACGTTTTTCCCTAGACCGCTCGCCTGTAAGGTTTCTATACATACATATATAGATATACATATATATACATATATATATACACATATACATATACATATACATATACATATATATATATGTACACAGAGCTGCCTGCAGCAAACCCCACCACCGCACCTGTGCAAGGAAGGAGTTTGAATTCAGGTCAGCTACATTCTGCCGAGCAGTCTGACCTGAGGCGGGCCGCAAACTCGACCTCGTCAGCTTCCGTGCGAAAGGAGGGATGCAGAGTTCACCCGAGCTGCCTGATTTTGGGCGCGTCGTAAACTCGACGTTTTTTTTTTCGTACGCCCGATGGGAAGGAGGTCGAGTTCACGTCCCTCAGCAGTTCAGCGAGCGGTCTGAATTGGGGCGTGTCGTAGACTCGATCTCGTTTCCGTCGCGCGGAATGAGGCCGAGTTCGCGCCCCACGGCAGGTCAGCGAGCGGTCTGACTTGGGGCGTGTCGTAAATGTGACCCCGCCTTCGTCCGCGCGGTAGGAAGGAGGTCAAGTACACGCCCCTCGGCAGTTGAGCGTGCCACATGGACCCATGGTGAATTTGGGCCGTCTTCGAGGCATCTTGTTGGGCGCATTGCCGCCATTCTTGGCCATTTGTATGCCCTCTTGGAGTGTCTTCAAGCCTTCTCAGGTAGTTTCGGGACCGCCTTAGAAGCACGTTGGCAGTCGTGGGGCGATCTCGGTTGTCTTGGGGCAGTGTTGGCCAGTGTTGTTTTTAGTGATGCGTTTCTTCTGCTGTTTCGGATGGTTTTGCTGTGGGTTGAAAGCTGCTTGGATTGTTGTTGATTGTGTTATATGTGTTCGGTTGTTTCGACACCCCTCGGGGTGCCTGTATTGACTTCCCCCGGGGGGCTGTGTTTGGATTGTCTTGACCCCCTCGAGGGAACTGGTTTGACCCCCTCGGAGGGGCCTGTTTTCGGCATCGTGCTGCACACATTTGTAATGTGATGTGGAAATGTCCCAACATCGGCCCTAGAGAGGGGAGCGATGTTTTAGACACGTTTGTGAGTAGGTGGGGGTGGCGTCAGCTTTAAAAACACTGAGAAAACTTCCCAGGCAACAGAAGATCACTTCAAGTCGCCCTCTCAGTGCAGGCACGGTGGTGAGCATGATTCTGAGGCACGGCGTGCGGCATCCTCCAGATCCGCAATTGGTGGTTCGGTGGTCTCCCGTGTGGTGTCCCATGTGTTCTCCCGTATGGTGTTCCTTTTGTCTCTTGTATGATCTCTTGTGAGGGTATTCCGTATGGCTGTTTTCACGGCCATGTTTATGGTTCTGTTAATGATATCATGCGTTGTTTGATTTCTCTGCAGCATTATCTGATCCCCCTGTGATATCATGTGTTGTTTGATTTCCCCTGTGATATCCTGTGTTGTTTGATTCCCCCTCTGATATCGTGTGGTGTTTGGTTTCCCCTATGATTTCATGTGTTGTTCAATTTCCCTTATGATTTCTAGCGTTCTATACAGCATTTTCTCTGTTAGCAATTAAGCGACCTTTCCAGTACTCGAAAGGGCTGTGTAGGACCTTCCCAAGCCTGTGGGTGCGTGGCGTGCCGACGCGGACGAAGAGGTCATGAGCGTGCGAGCGCGAGCCCACTGCGCCAGTGCAGGACACCCGAACTGCGCGCCCGACGCATGCACGGGCCTGGACAAATCGATTTGTGTGACCCGAAGGAGAGCAAAACGCCATAAACATAAGCTTTTGGCGCTCCACGCGGATTTCTCGGATCCGCACTGGGACCCCCAGCGGCGCCTCCCGCGCCGCCCTTGGCGCGCTCTGCGCGCCAGGGAGGGGGGTCCAGCGCGGATCCAAGAAATCCGAGCGGAATGCAAAAAGTTTATGTTTATGGTGTGTTTTCTTCTTCTATTGACCTCGTCAGTAATTACTCTTACCATTCCACGTCCGTCCATCGCCTCCACTTCCATCCTCCACCCCTCCCATCCTCCTCGCGGACGGCTCCCACCAGCGTCCAGGTGATCCAGAGCCATGCTCTCAAGTGTTTCAAGAGGGCGCCAGCGTCGGCAATTTCCGTCGCTTGCGCGGCACGCCTTGTGTAGTCTCAGGACCAAGGTGTTCAGTTGTACGTCGTGCAGCGCTGTATGTAAAGCGTGTTTTGTGTTGTCCTCGGATTTGTGGTGAGTCGCCGGCGCGCGCCAGCGCAGTTGTCGAGTGGTCGGAAGTTGAATGTAGCTGCTGGCGAGCAAGTGGCGCCGTCGCGCCACTTGACCGCATGTACAGTAGGAAGCAGGGCCCAGCAGTAGTCCGAGCGAGCCAGGCGATGTTCGGAGCAGGGCCCCCCTGGAAACCGCAGGGTGAGACTCCCGTTTAAGCGCTGGCCGTAGCGCTGGCCGTACTCTTGCATCAGTGAAGGTGGCATTCCCGCTGTAGAACTGCCACGTTTACGAATTCCCAACGATCTTCCTTCTCATGGATTCATTCTCTCGTCGCAGCGATGGCCGTACTCCGCCTCCTCCTCCTCCCATCCCCCCTTCACCACATTCAGGCCCTCCTGATTTTCAGGGGTTGAGATCCTCTTCGATCAGATCACCCCTTCGGGATCGAGTATCAGGATCTCTCCTGACACCCAACTCTACGAATGGAGAGGGGTCCAGCGCAATGGACAGGGAGGGACGGAGGGGTAGGAGGTCGGATATGGCGCGAGCGCCTAGCTTGTCTCCTCCCCATCGCCCTTTTCTCTCCTCCATCCCTTCAACTCGACAAGGTATACTGAGCAATACTGCCAGGAAGTGGGTGCGAAGATTGATGCGTGCGACAGCGGAGCCTAAAGTGGAGACTTCTTGTGGCGGTTGAAGGCCATGGCAAGGGAACGTGGATCCGGATGGATTTATTGTCGGACCCAGCCAATACCAACGCACTAGCAAAGCGGCTACTACAGCGGCCCAGCAACAGGTGGATTAATGACGTCGCTGATTTCCACATGCCACAGCATGCGTTCACGATACGGACTACGGAGGACTCGGAGGAATCGGAGGGCACTGTACTCGACCCTTTTCCAGGGCACCATTCCCAGCAGGCGTGTTGTGTCGTGCATGACGCAGTGCTTTTGGAACCCTGCTGGCCGCCCTGCCGGACGGGCGGGAGGGAGCGCGGGCGGAGGTGGAGGATGAGGCGGGGGAGAAGAGTGGGGAGGAGGGGTTGGGGAGGGAGGAGGAGGAGGAGGAGGATGGAGGATGAGGGGAAAAGCAGGGAGGAGCAGGGGGAGGTGAGGGAGGAGTGGGGAGACGGAGAAGGAGTTGTTTGTGTTCCCCCTGTGGATGCCGCACGTGCCAGCTGCATAGACGGAGGAGGAGGAGGAGGAGGAGGAGGAGGAGGGAGGATGGATGACGAGGAGGAGAACAGCAGCGAGGAGTAGATAGAAGGAAGATAAGGCGGAGGAAGAAGACGAAGCCCTGCCGACCCCCTCCTCCCCCCCCACTCCCCGCTGCCGTCAGCGCCGTGGCTCGGGGCTCCCGGGCGGGAACCGCGGGGTGTCGGGAGCGGCGTCCGTCTCGCCCCAGTTCCGTGCCCCATGCGTCTCTCACCCGAGGGCTTTTCCGGAGCGGCCGATTGCGGGTTTCCAGGCGAGCGCAATTGACTAGGCGCCCTCCTCCTTCTCTTCTTTCTCCTCCTGCTCCTCCTCCTCCTCCCTCCCCTATCCCCCTCCCCTCTCTCTCTCTCTCTCTCGCTCTCTTTTTTTTTCTCTCTCCGTCTCTCTCTCTCTCTCTCTCTTTCTCTCTCTCGCTCTCTTTTTTTTCTCTCTCCGTCTCTCTCTCTCTCTCTCTCTCTCACTCTTTCTCTCTCTCCCTCTCTTTCTATACATATATATATATATATGTTTATCTCTCTCTCTATGTCTCTCTTCTTCTCTCTCTATCTCTCTATGTATATATAAAAGTAGATGTTTATATTTATGTATGCTCTCCCCCTCTCTCTCTATATGTTTGTCTTTCTGCGTATGTCCCCTCCTCTAGATCTGTAGATGTGTCCCGATCTGATACAGATTTGCGCATCTACATGACATTGTCCCGCCTGCCATTGCGTAACATGTTTATACATGTCTGTATGCATGTGCATGTACATGTGCATGCGCGTGTGTAGTGTGATGTATGTGTACATACAAATGTCCCTGTGTTCCTTGTTCCCTTTCCCTTCGTGTATAGATATCCCTATCTCCATCTCTCCCTTTCCCTTGCTCCCTCACCTTCGATCTGCCTCTACGTATCTCTCTATCGTTCTCCGATTAATTTCCCAAAACTCATTTGCTTCTAGTTGTCTCCGGCCCATCCCGCCACCCTGCCTGGATGGTGGTAGACCAAAGGCCTCTTGAAGGGCTGCTGGGGGCCTCTTAGGGCCTCTGGAGGTCTCTTGTAGCCCATTGGGGGCCTGTTCGCGGTCGCTGAAACCACCTTGGAGAGTCCCGGGAGCGCACGAGAACGCCCGATGTTTCTGTAGATCTGGGGCATGAGAGCTTTACTGAAAGAGTATTCGCAAGCACTCAACAAGAAAAGTCAAAGGGATCTGGTGCATTCCGCTCAGTGTCTCGATGCACGGCGGCAGTTCCCTTCTCTCTCACACACACACACACTCTCTCTCGCTCTCTCTCTCTCTCTCTCTCTCTCACTTTCTCTCTCTCTCTCTCTTTGTCTCTTTCTCACTCTCTCTCTCTCTCTCTCTCTTCCTCCCTCTCACGCTTTCCCTCGCTCTCTCTCCCTTTCTCTCTTTCTAAAGCTGTTTCTACCTCTCTCTCTCTCTCTCTCTTTATCTCTCTCTCTCTCTCTCTATTCTCTCATGCTCTCTATATGACTCTTTCTCTCTCCCTTGGCGCCGTCGCCGCTGTCAAAGGGGCCCAGACTACTTTGCCAACACGTGGGGAAAGTTCAATGCACTGTCTGGAAATTTGACCTCCTCTGTAACTACCTCTGTGGGGGTGACCACACCCATCAAAGGACAGGTGAGGCTGGCATCTCGGCCAACCCATCTCCCTTGTGCAGATCGTGCGACCAGGACGAGGGAAACACAGGAGCAGACTGTGTAGAGATGCCCTTGCTGGGAGACCGCCAGGACCTCCTCAAAACAATGACTATTGAACAACAATGGCAAGAACTCCCACCGCATACCAGGCACAGTGGACTGCTAGAAGAAGACCCCGGCCTCCTTGACCTACAGTCCGCCCTTGCCGAGGACGACCTCCCGCAGCCCATCCCGAGACCACCACCAGAGGATTCGGAAAGGGACCCGTTCGTTGACTGCACCGGCGACCAGGGGGCCCGACGGGTCTTTTGGTCTTTGCTGCTACGGACGGCGCCTGCACTCACAAAGCCCATGCCCTCCTGGGCAGAGTGGGTTTGGGCGTGTACAGGGGACCAAACCACCAGCAAAACCATTCTGCCCGCGTGCACGTTCTGGCGCAGTCTGCGCAGCGGTCCGAAACGCCTGCCATGCTTCACCTTGTCGCCACGGCTGAACGACCAGTGCATGTGTTCGCTGACAACCAGGCAGTCATTGAAGGCTTCCTAAGGGGCGAAACACCGCAGCGTGAGGAGCCTCATGTGAACCATTTGCAAAATATCCACTGGGCGCTTCTGGCCAAACTTGATTTCCTTAAATTCCAGAAGGTGGACAGTCATCTGGGGGGAGCAAGGCATCAGCGAAGGGCGCATCACTCTTATTGCTGAAGCTGTCAACCGTCACGCTGACGAGCGCTGCCTGGATGGTCGTAGACCAAAGGCCTCTTGGAGGGCTCTTGGGGGCCTTTCTGGGGCCTCTGGAGCTTTGAGAGTCCCCGGGGAGCGCGCGAGAGCGCCCGATAGTTTCGTAGACCTGGGGTTTGGGACCCTTGTGGAACGAGTATCCGCAAGCATTCAGCAAGGAAATTCGCAGGGCTACGGTGCATTCCACCCAGGGTTTCCACGCACACGGCGGCAAGTATGTTGTCTCCTTGGGTTCTCTCTCTCTCTCTGTTTCTCTCTCGCACGCTATCTCTCTCTCTCTCTCTCTCTTCTCTGCGTTCCTTCTCTCTCTCTCTCTCTCTTTCTCTATCACTCGCTCTCGGTTTATGATTTGTTTTCTTTTTGTTATTAATATGTCTCTAAATATGTATGCATACGTATATGCTTATATTCGCCATTATCTCGCCTTTATCTCGCTGTATGCCTGTCTGTATCTATATATGCATATCCCTACGTGCACAAACAATTATATATGTGTATTAGTATATATATATATGTGTGAAAGAGCGTGTTCTACCGCTGCTAGCAGAAAACCGGGGGGGGTCACTACCGGTTCGAACCCCTCCCCCCCCCCCTCCCCCCTCCGGAAAACCGGGGGGGGTCACTACCGGTTCGAACCCCTCCCCCCCCCCCGCCCTCCCAGTTCATCATGAAGGGGGGGGGGGGTCACTACCGGTTCGAGCCCCCCCCCCCCTCGAGCTCGAAAACCGAGGGGGGTCACTACCGGTTCGAACCCCCCCCCCCCCCCGAAAACAGAGGGGGGGTGCGGACAGTGGTGGGGACGGTGGTGGTGGGGACAGTGGTGAGGGGACAGCGGGACAGTGGTGGGGACAGTTGGACAGTGGTGGGGACGGTAGTGGTGGGGACAATGGTGAGGACAATGGTGGGAACAGTGGGGACAGTGGGATTGTGGTGGGGACGGTGGTGGTGGGGACAGTGGTGTGGGGACAGTGGGAATGTGGTGGAAACAGTATGACAGTGGAGGGTACAGTGGTGGTGGGGACAGTGGTGAAGGCGGTGGCGTGGACGGCGGTGGGACAATGGGACAGAGGTACAGTGGGGACAGTGGTAGGGACAGTGGGGACAGTGGTGGGAACAGTGGGACAGCTCAGTGGTTCGAAGCGGTAGTGACCCCCCCTCCGGCGGTTTTCGAAGGGGGGGGGGGGTTCAAACCGGTAGTGACCCCCCCGGTTTTCGAGCTCGAGGGGGGTGGGGGGTTGGCTGGGGGAAGGGGGGAAGGGCGGGGGGGAGGGGTTCCAGCAGGGGGGGGGAGGATTTTCGGAGGGGGGGGGAGGGGGACCCCCGGGTTCCGGAGGAAAAGGGCGGCAATTTGCCACAGTAAAGCGGCGGTGGATCACGCTCTCTCTCTCTCTCTCTCTCTCTCTCTCTCTCTTTCATATATATATATATGCATACATACATATATATATATATTCAAAGGCATGTGTGCACAAATATATACATCAGTGTGCAAAAGTGCATCCAAAATACATGCGTACCCGTGCACATGCAGACAGACGTGTGCACAGCTATGTTTGTCAATTTGCAAACGCATTATTATCTGAAAATGTGTATATGCGTGTTTCCCCCATTCCTCAAATATACATATATGTATATATATGTACGAATATATAATTTAATTTTACACATTGCATAAAGAATGGTTATCCCTTTCCTTTTCTCTAGACTCCCAGTCAACACTTCCATATCCCTTCTTCCTCCCCCCTTCTGCTTCCTCCTCCAATCATACATATGCCGCCTCGTCCCTCCATATCCTTTTCTTCCTCGTATAGCCTGCTCTTCCTCGTGCTCCCTAGAAGTCCACATCCCCCATCCATATCCCACCTCCGACCCTCCCCCCTCACCCCGCTTCAGCTCATCCAGGCGTTCTTCTTGCATCTCGCTTCGGAACGCGCTCGCGCGGTCTCTGCTGTCGCAATTGGCACCAGGACCTGCTCCTGTGGGGAAAATGCTACGCAGTAGGAGCGATGAGGGGAAGGCCAGGTAGGGAAGGTAGAGGTAGGAGAGATGGGGGGAATACACTGGGAAAGTGGCCTGGGTAACTTCGCGCTTATTTAGCGGCCGCGCTGTTTCGTTTATGAGACCTGCAGGCGCCCACGGGATAGTTTCACGGTCCAAAATTATTTGGCGACCGTGCTGTTTCTTATGAGACTTGCAGGCGCCAACGGGATAGATACACGTTCCAATATAGTTTCATCTGGCCACGTGTTTCCCCTTCGGATGAGATGGAATTTCGGGGATGGGCGCAGCGTTCAGTTTGCGGTCAATCCCGCGATCGATCGATCGATATCAATACCAGCAGTCTTATCGATCGAAACCGCTATCCGCAATATGTGTCGGCTTCGTGTTCGTGCCGTGCGTGCGGGCGGAGCGACGGTGCGTACGCGGGCGAGGGAGTGATCCGGCCGCTTCTAGGGCGAAGTCTCTCCGCCCGTCCAGTTGGCGGTTTTGGGCCCAGGGTTGTCCCGCGGTTGTGTCGTGATTGTCTCGCGGTTGCCTTGATAAGTTTGCCGATGGTTTTCCCGATGGTTGTCCCGAGAGTTGTCCCGATATGTAGGCAAACCAATAGATAGATCGACAAACATGTGGATATCGACAACGGCCTACAGATAGTGAGATCGGCGTACATATATTGATATCGATAGATAGACAAGCATATCGATATAAATATAGTGTTTTCCAGGGATACATATATTTATATGTCTTGATATATATTTACCGAGGTAGACAGGTAGATAGTGAGACACATCAGTCATTAAACATACATGCATGAATAGTGAAACCCACAGATAGATAGACCGATAGAGGTTGTCCGGATCCTTATTCCGATCGTATGATAATTGATTGATTGATATTGTAGTCGGCAGACAGAGTGAGGCTGGTAGATAGGTATACCTATATAAAGATTAATAGTGAGATCGACATACGTTTAGTGCGATCGATAGATCGACATATTGTGGGATCGGTGGATGGGTAGTGATATATATATATAGAGAGAGAGACTTCTGACAAGATCGATCGATGAATATAATAGTCAATTCGTCAGGTAGATTGTGGAATAGAAAGATGAGTCGTGAGATCGATGGATCTATAAACATAAAGAGGCTGCGCGATGAACGGAGACGATTGTCCTGATGGTTGTGTCCCGTTGCTCGTTGTTGGTTCCATCCTCTCCGATGTGTTGATCAGCTGTTTGCCGGTCTGATGGATGTATACGTACATGTAGAGGCTTATAGGGTAAATATTCCGATCTGTATATGCAGCTACATATGCCGCTGTTGTTGTCTACCGCTCTATCTATCGACTTATCGTTGACACTACATGCTCCTACCTCTGTAAACATATAGACTGGCATTTGTTCACACATCGATGTCACTAAACTTCTACCAATCTCACGATAAGTCGGCCGTACTACCCAACGATATCACAACGTATTGCCCCAGCTCGTTCTCACCGCCCATCCTCTGGTCTGCCTCCTCCTCGTCATAGCCATTATACAGCGAGACTTGCCAAATCAAGACACCGGCTGGAAGGAGAAGAGTCATTAGCTTACCTTGCATGTCCAGAGGAGGATAGCAGCGCAATGAAGCAGTCATGGTCCTCCGAAGATACAGCATAAGTTGATCCAGGTCACCCGCAGAGGCGCGAAGACAACCTGGGCCAGAAGAGTTGTCATTCTCCAGGGGGCTGCGCGGGGGCGTCAAGACAACCGCGCGGATATGGATGACCTACACCACCCTGGATCAAAAAGTCTGGATCGCATAGATCGCACACGACGGGTTGCGCGTTTCCTTTCAGGTCTCGGGGCACCACTACAATGTTTCTGTGACCCTCTTGCGACCATCCAATACATCTACCGTCTTTCAATATCTCGGGATCGTCCTGGAGAATTTCGTTCCGGAGTTCGAGGTGAATTTCGTGCGTTTTTTGGCCGGGAATGAAGACTACAAAAAAATCCACGTGGAATTCACTCCGTTGTTCGGTCGCCGCTTCGGGGTTAAAAATCTGCTGCAGCACGTCCTGCAAGGTCGTGCAGTGAGCAGGCGGTTCGCAAGACATGTGTTCAGAAGCGCTGACGCCTTCGGCGTCTTCCTCGCGGCGCCGCGGCGGCGCGCGGCCCCGCGGCGGCCTCCAGGAGCTCGGGGTCCTCCTTCCTCCTCCGCCTCCTCCTCCTCCTTTTCCTTCTCCTCCCTCCCTCCGCCTCCTGCTCCTTCTCCTCCTCCTCCTCCTCCAATCCCATAGCGACGCATTCGGCGTCTTCCTCTGTCACAGATCGAAGGGTGTGCAGCCACCGTCTCCTGCCCGAGCAGGTCTGCAGCCAGGGTCGCGTCGCGCCGCATTGCCTAGCGAAAGGGTTGCACACCGCCTGCCGATGCGTGGAGCCAGCTGGAGTTCGTTGCTCTCTGCTCGCGTCCTTCTTCGAGGCCATCCTTCGCCCCAGTCTTGGGCAGTCTTCGTTGTTCTCTGCTAGCGTCCTTCTTCAAGGCCCATCCTTCGCCTCAGTCTTGGGCAGCTGTTGCCTCCCTTGAAACCTGCGCTCGGGCGAAGGCTCGAGCAGATGCTCCGAGTTGCTGCCGTGAGGCAGCGTCATGCAGCAAGAGTCCTATGCGTTCATATCGCATGCCGCTTGGGTCAGGAGCCGATCGCGCTTTACCGTGCCAAGCCCCGTCAGCAGATGGTTACGGTCGAGCGTCGACGATGTCAAGGGTTGGTGTGTCAACGTTCGTGTGGCAGAAATTTGTCCAATTCTCTTTGGCTGGGGGCCAGGGGCCAGGGGCGAATTCTGACGACGCGAATTCTCGTTGTGCGACTGTTAGCTCTGCTACCGTTGGTCGACGGCACCGTCTCATTTCAAGCGCAGCGTTGTGTTCTGAGCTTCGCCCGTCCGTTTTTCTTCGACGGTGTCTTGTCTCTGTATGGCAAGCGGTACCGCAATACGCTGACACACCTTGTGGACAGAACGCAGCGCCAAAAATTTGGTCACGGTATACGGTAAGCACGCGTTCGTTGTTCCGCTTTACCGCCCAAATATGCTCAAGTGATCTTCGGATCGGGCGCGGTTGGCCTTTGGCAACGACGGGGGCGATCAGACCCCGCCTGCTTCTTATCGATCATGGGATTGATACGAATAAGGTGTAACGCTTGTGGGCTCCACTGATACAAGAAGTGGTGACCTTTTCACATGAAGCGATGGCGAAATTGTTGCGGAAAGCACGAGATGCCGATATTCCAAACCCGCGGCGAGTATTATTGCCCACGAAGCTTTTCGACATGTGTAAACCCCGCAAGAAAAATATTGAAGACGAAACGCAACATGGAAGGGGGAGGGAACAAAACTTCACGCCATAAACATTCATGGATATGTAGCAAGGTCGTACGCGAAGAACCAGCAGGGAGCACATGTACTCCGAATGTCGTGCGAATGTTTTCCCGGCGCACCGGACATGGAAACGAAGGCGCGCACCGGGACATTTGGCCGAAAAACGATACAATGGGCAGCGAAAACGGAGGCCAAGGTTGCGCAATAGAACGGGAAATAATAAGAGGAGGACGAAGAAGAGATGGACGGTGGAAGGATTGAAGGAGGGAGGGGGGAGGAAATGGAAGACAAGGCGGAACACAGGAGCGGAGAGAGGAGAGTACTAGCCATACGCAATTGCACGCAGCCCATTTACAGGGCATGGTGGGTCGATGGATCGATGTGCATCGTAAGTCGTAAGCAGTTCCGAGTGTTTGTGAAAACCATATGAATTTCCGACCGTCGGAAAACAGTTTCTAATACATCCACCAATTCTGTAAATATGCATGATAGCACCATGCCGCATGCGTCAAAGGAAGCCTGTGTCCCACAGCAGGGCAAGAAGTATAGCAGTGGTTTGTTCTCCCCATTTCCTAGGTTCCATCAAGTTTAGCCTTATGAGCAATGTTTTCCAGTGCGAACCCTAAACAGTGAGTTCTTGCAGTCTACGCGGCGCAATCCAAGTGTTGCAATCAATCATTTGTTCAACTTGAAGTTGTCCTCTCCACTCCTCGCGCAAACCCACCCTCCAACCCGCAACTTGGTCGCAAGACCTCTAAAGACCGTGACGGTGGGTACCAAATGGCACTTGGCAACGACACCGACGCCGACAACGACAGCGACAACGACGACGACGATGCCGCCGACAACGACTACGACGACACCGACGACGTCTCCAACGATTTCGACGACGATGACAACGACGACGACGACGACGACAACACCGACGACGACGACGACGCCGACGCTGACGACGACGACGGCGATGACAACGCCGACGACGACGACGACGCCGCCGACGACGACGACGACGAAGACGACGACGACGACGAGGGACGAGGGAGGACGACGGCGACGACGACAACGACGAGGGAGGAGGGAAGACGACGACGACCACCACGACGACGACGACCACGACGACGACCACCACGACGACGACGACCACCACGACGACGACGACCACGACGGGACCACGACGACGACCACGACGATGACGCCGACGCCGACGACGACGACGACGACGCCGCCGCCGACGACGACGACGACGACGATGACGACGACGAAAATGCCGACGACGAAGACGACGACGACGCCAAGACGACGACGACGACGAGGAAAAACAGAGAACGACGACGGCGATGACGACGACGACGACGACGGAGGAGGGAGGACTGCGACTTCGACGACGACGACGCAAGAGCGCGCGCGCACGCTTTTGTTGAAAATCCGTGTTGCGAGAGCTTGTGTTTTTAATGTTTCTTGGACACGATTTTGAAATCGGTCCGAGACCGAAGGTTTTTGAAGGATGTCGGCATGCGCGCGCGACGACGCGCGCGTCTGTTTTTCGTTTTTTTGTATAGGATCCTCGCGACGGCACGCGCGCAAGGGCGTAGGAATGGTTTTTGGCATGCGCACGCGAAGCCCGT